TGGTCATTCATCTTTCTTTGAAAGAAGGAATATTCATGAACCTATACTAGATCTTTTTTTTTTTTTCTTTTTACTATTTTATTGCTTTTCCTCTCTTGTCATGTGTAAAAATTATCTCTATAGGGTAACGATCTGCACATTCGATGACTATGAAGATTTTGTGTAAATGAAAGGGAGAAAGAGGAGGAGGAGGAGGGAGGAGGAGGAGGAGAAGGAGGAGGAGGAGGAGGAGGAGGAGGAGGAGGAGGAGGAGGAGGAGGAGGAGAGGAGGAGGAGGAGGAGGAGGAGGAGGAGGAGGAGGAGGAGGAAGGAAGAGGAGGAGGAGACGAGAAGAAGAAAGAAGAAGAAGAAGAAGAAGAAGAAGAAGAAGAAGAAGAAGAAGAAGAGAAGAAGAAGAAGAAGAGAAGAAGAAGAGACAGAGAGAGAGAGAGAGAGAGAGAGAGAGAGAGAGAGAGAGAGAGAGAGAGAGAGAGAGAGAGAGAGAGAGAGAGAGAGAGAGAGAGAGAGAGAGAGAGAGAGAGAGAGAGAGAGAGAGAGAGAGAGAGAGAGAGAGAGAGAGAGAGAGAGAGAGAGAGAGAGAGAGAGAGAGAGAGAGAGAGAGAGAGAGAGAGAGAGAGAGAGAGAGAGAGAGAGAGAGAGAGAGAGAGAGAGAGAGAGAGAGAGAGAGAGAGAGAGAGAGAGAGAGAGAGAGAGAGAGAGAGAGAGAGAGAGAGAGAGAGAGAGAGAAGAGGAGAGAGAGAGAGAGAACCATACCATACAACTAAGAAACACAAAAAACAATAGAAATTCAACCCATGCACATATAAACAAATCACAAGAACCCACACAAACCCACATACCCCAACAAATACCCACATAATCCCCACCACATACCCTAAACACTTCCCACATACCCAAAACATACTCACATAATCCCCACCCTGTACCCTACACACTTCCCACATACCCAAAACATGCTAACATAGTCCCCACAACATATTTCCCACATACCCACCACATACCCAAACAGTTACATCTTTCCACCCTCCCCCCCCCCCTCCTCTCCATGTGCCCCTTATCACATACCTCATAGATTCCTTATCTTCTACACCTTATCTGACCCTTACCTCCCTGTCCCTTTATCTCTCCCACCTCCCTCACTTCCTCCAATCTGTTATCCCTTTTCCCCTATTCCCCCTTTATCTCTTATCCACTCCTTTATCTCTGTTTCCTTATCCCATCTTGGTATCTGTTATCTCTTATCTCTTATCTTTTATTCATTATTCCTTAGTCAACCCTTTTCTTTATCTCTAATTCCTTATTCCTTGTCTCTTATTCTTTATTCTTTATCCTTTATCCTACTCCCTTCTCCTTTTCCCTTATCCCTTATCCTTCTCCCTTCTCCCTTATCCTTCTTCCTTGTCTGTTATCCTTCTCCTTTATCCTTATCCTTTCTCCCTTTTCCCTTATCTCTTATCCTTCTCCTTATCCTTTTCCCTTATCCTTATCCTTCTCCCTTCTCCCTTATCCTTATCCCTTATTTCATATCCTTCTCCTTTATCCTTCTTCTGTATCCTACTCCATTCTCCCTTATCCCTCCTCCCTTATCCCTTATCCCTCCTCCCTCCCTCCTTATCCGTCATCCTTAATCCTACATTCTCCTCCCTTCCCCTTTCCCTTCCTCACAACTTACTCCTACATCCTCCCTTCTCCCTCCCTTTACCAGCATCCTTATCCTACACCCTTCTCCCTAATGTTTTTTCTCCTCCTTATCCTACATCCTTGCCCATTCTCCCTCCTTCCTTATCCAAAATCCTTAATCCTACATCCTCCTCCCTTCTCCCTCCCTCCCTATCCAATCCTTAATCCTTCATCCTCCTCCCTTCTTCCTCCCTCCTTATCCAACATCCTTAATCCTAGAGCCAGGTCCCTCCTTCCTCCTCCCTTCCCCCTTCTCCCTCCCTCCTTATCCCACATCCTTAATCCTAGAGCCAGCTCCCTTCTCCCCTTCCCTCCCCCCCTTCTCCCTCCTCCTTAACCCTTCATCCTCCCTCCCTCCTTCCCTACATCCTTAATCCTACACCCTCCCCCTCCTTCCCTCCCCCTCCCCCTTCTCCTCCCTCCTTATCCTACATCCCCTTCCTCCCTCCTCCTTATCACATCCTTATCCTACACCTCCTCCCTCCTCCTCCCCTTCCCCCTTCTCCCCGTCTTCTCCCTCCCTCCTTATCCTACATCCTTAATCCTAGGGGCGCGTTCCTCCTCCCTCCCTCCTCCTTATTCCAAATCCTTAATCCTACACCCTCCTCCCTCCTTCCCCCTTCCCCCTCCCTCCTTATCCAAATCCACACCTCCTCCCTTCTCCCCCTTCCCCCTCCCTCCTTATCCCTACATCCTTAATCCTTAGGGCGCGTTCCTCCTCCCTCCTCCCTCCTCCTCCCTCCTTATCCAAAATCCTTAATCCTACACCCTCCCCTCCTTCCATCCCCTCCCTTCCCCTTCCCCTCCCTCCTTATCCAATCCTACACCCCTCCCTCCCTTCTCCCTTCCCCTTCCCTCCTTATCCTACATCCTTAATCCTAGGGGCGTTCCCTCCTCCCCGCACCGTGATGAGTCCCGCCGTGTTGTCCTTGGGGCAGATGTCCGCCTCGCCGCAGAAGGGCGCCACCGTCACCGTGTGGGCGTCCACCTCCGGCAGGTTGTCCGTGAAGCCTCCGTCGATGTATCGGACTCCGCCCACTTTGGGACACGCCCATCCGCTGAAGCCCGGGATGAAGGCGGAGCAGAGGAGGGCCTGCGGGTGGCGTGGTGTGGTGTGGTCTTTTTTTTTTTTTTTTTTTTTTTGGTTTAGGTTAGGTTGGTTTGGGGGGTGGAGGAGGAGGTGGAGGGTTTTTTTTTTTTTTTTTTGGGTTAGGTTAGGTTGGGGGGTGGAGGAGGGGGTGGGGGTGGAGGAGGTGGGGTGATGGGGGTGGAGGGGGAGGGTTTTTTTTTGGTTAGGTTAGGTTGGGGGGTGGAGGAGGGGGTGGGGGGGAGATGATGGGGTGGAGGGGGAGATGATGGGGGTGAGAGAGAGAGGGGTGGAGGAGGGTGATGGGGTGAGGTGGGGGGAGTGAGAGGCAGGATGATGGATGAGAGGGGGTGAGGGGGTGGGGAGTGGTGGGGTGGAGGGGAGGGGGGGTGAGAGGGAGATGGGTGATGGGAGAGTGATGGTGATAGGAAGGGTGATGTAATGGAGGGGGGGGGTGATGGGTGGTGAGAGTGGGGGAGAAGGGGGAGGAGATGGGGTGTGAGGTGATGGGGGTGGGTTTAGAGGGGAGGGGTAGGAAGGTAGAGATAAGGGATGTGTCGTATATCATATATATATATATATATATGTTTTCTCTCTCAAGATCATTATTTTTAATTTTCCTTTTGTTTACTTTTCATTAATTTCTCTCTCTCTCTCTCTCTCTCTCTCTCTCTCTCTCTCTCTCTCTCTCTCCTCTCTCTCTCTCTCTCTCTCTCTCATCTTCTCTCTCGCTCTCTCTCTCTCTCTCTCGCTCTCTCATCTCTCTCTCTCTCTCCACTTTATCAACGTATTTTCTCAACCTTTTTTTTTATCATCCTTCTGCTTTTTTTCTTTTCGTTTGTCGTTTTTTCCTCGTTATCGCTATTCTCTTCTGTTTCCAATCTACGCAATTTCTACGCCTGGCAAAACTGCGCTACGAACGGCGGGAACAAGCGATACGGCGCGATAAAGATGAGTAAGAAGAGGAAACGAAAGAAAATGTGGAAGAGGAAAAGGAAGAAGGAAGGAAAGATTAATGGAAGGGGGAAGAGGAGGAAAAGGAAGAGGAAGAGGGGAAGAGGAAGAAGGAGGAAGAGGAGGAAAAGAAAGAGGAGGAGGAAGAAGAAGGAGAGATAGAAAAAGGAAGAAAAGATTACAGAAGGAGAAGAGGAGAAGAAAGGAAAGGGAGATGGAAGAGGAAGAAACGATTAATAGAAAGGGGAAGAGGAGGAAAAGAAAGAGAAAGAGGAAGTGGAAGAGGAGGAGGAGATAGAAAAGGAAGAAAATATTAATAGAAAGAGAAAGAAGGGAAAAAGAAAAGAGAGGAGGAAAAGGAAGAGAAAGAGGAGGTGGAAGAGGAAAAGGGAGGTGCAAAGGGAGAGAAAGAAGGGAGGAAAGTAAAACGAGAAGAAAAGGGGTAGATAAAAGATAAGAGAAAGTAGAAGGAGTAGATAAGAATAGGAAAGGGGAAGAATAAGCAAAGAAAAAAAAGGAAGAGGAAGAAGATAAGAAAGCACAAGTAAGACTAAAGGAAAACGAAATCCAAAACTAGGAAAATAAATAAATATAAAGAAAAAGAAAAAATAACAAAATAAAATAGCAAAAATAAAACAAAAAGGAAACACAATTAAGAAATAACAAAAATCGAACAAAAACTAACTAAATTTTAAAATAACAAAAATAAAAACAAAAACAAAAAAGAGATCCCAACCTACTCCTTCCTACTCTCAGCCCCTCCTCCCCCCCCCCCACCCAACTCAAAACTCCCCACCCCTTACTTTAGAATAAATAAATAATTAAATAAATAAATAAATAAATAAATAACGAATTACCGAATAGAGCAACTCGCGAAAAATACGCCCACCCCATTTTTTTTTTTTTTTTTTTAATCTACCGAATAGAGCAACTCGTCAAAATACTTTTTTTTCCATCTACCGAATAGAGCAACTCGTCAATACTTTTTCATCTTTTCTTTTTTTATCTCTTCTTCTTTTTCTTTTTTTTCATCTATCTTTCATCTACCGAATAGAGCAACTCGTCGCGGTCCCTGGGGCAGATGTGCGCCCCCCCGGCGAAGGGGCTGACGGAGACGGTGCGGTGGTCCAGGCGGGGCAGGTTGTCGCTGCAGAAGCCGTCCACGTAGCGAACGCCGCCCACGGTGGGGGGGAGCCACCCACTCACGCCGGGATGAAGCACGAGCACAGGAGGGACTGTGGGTGGGTGGGTGGGAGTGGGGTGGGGGGAGTGGGGGTGGGTGGGTGGGTGGTGGGTGGTTGGTGGAGTGGGAGTGGTGGAGTGGGTGGAGTGGAGTGGTTGGGTGGAGTGGAGTGGTGTTGGTGGGTGAGTGGAGTGGTTTGGTGTGTGTTGGTGGAGTGAGTGGTGGTTTAGGTGGAGTGGTTGGTTGGTTTGGGTGGCGTGGAGTGGAGTGGTGTTGGTGAGTGTTTTTTTGGGGTGGAGTGGAGTGAATGGTAGTGGTTCAGGTGTAATGGAGTGGTGTTGGGGGGTTGGTGGTTTTGGGCGGAGTGGAGTGGTTGGTTGGTTTGGTGGAGTGGAGTGAGTGGTGGTTTAGGTGGAGTGGTTGGTTGGTGTTCGTGGTTTGGTGGAGTGGGTGGTGGTGGTTTTGGGTGGAGTGGAGTGGAGTGGTGTTGGTGGATTGGTGGAGTGGAGTGAGTGGTAGTGGCGGAGTTGGTATTAGTGTATTTTTTAATCAGGTTGTTTGGTTGACGGTTGTTAAATGTTGTTTGTAAGTAGTTTGTTTGTTTGGTGTTATTTGTTTTATTTTTTATTTTTTTTTCCACGTGAGCATGCAAAGTTAAAGAGAAAAAGGAAAAAGATAAAATTATGATAATATAAATGGAATTCATGGAAGGAGAGAGAGAGAGAGAGAGAGAGAGAGAGAGAGAGAGAGAGAGAGAGAGAGAGAGAGAGAGAGAGAGAGAGAGAGAGAGAGAGAGAGAGAGAAGAAAAGAAAAGAAAGGAGAAGAGAAAGAGAGAAAGAGAGAGAGAGAGAGAGAGAGAGAGAGAGAGAGAGAGAGAGAGAAGAGAGAGAGAGAGAGAGAAGAGAGAGAGAGAGAGAGAAGAGAAGAGAAGAGAAGAGAAAGAAGAAAAAAGAGAGAAATAGCGACAGACAGACAGAGACAAACAGAAACAGAGACAGAGACAAACAGAAAACGAAATAGAAACAGAGACACAGATACAGACACAAAGGCAAACAGAACAATGGAGAGAGAGAAAATAAATGAACAAAAGGCCACAGAACAGAATACAAGAGAGTATACATTGGCGTGTTATGTGTATTTATACGTGCTTACCAACCCTTCGCTCACAACAAAAGACACCTTTACGGCTTCCAGAACCCCGTCTCGTTTTACACCCATCGAAAAGAAACGAGAAACAACAAAAAAACATGAAAAAAAAGTAAAACGGCATAAAAAAAAGAAAAAAAAAGAAACGAGAAACAAAAAAAAAATGAAAAAAGTAAAACGGCATAAAAAAAATGAAAAAAAAAGAAACGAGAAACAAAAAAATGAAAAAAAGTAAAATGATATAAAAAAAAAGAAAAAAAAAACTCGATTTTAGCATTCACGTCGCGTGGTTTCATCCCACTTGACTCGACTTGCACTTCTCTGATCTCGACTTGACCTGTCTTGACCTGTCTTGAGAAATTGTTCAAACACTCGACAGGCTTTTCGATGTAATCTTTCCCTTTGTCTCTTTCGGAAATTCTTTGGAAGAGACAAAAAAATGGGAAATAATAATAAACGGGAAAGGAAAGTATTGCGAGAATCGTGCAAAGCTCAGCTGTGCGTAGAGTAGAAGCGAAAATAAAGAAAAAAAAAATAATAAACACAATATGATAAAGAGGAGATTCTATGAACATGCTATCTCCATCTACTGAGAAATATTAGTAATAAATAAATAAATACATGAAAATCAAGGGGAAAAGAATACATGCATAGAAAGAAAAAATTGAAAAACATGCAAAGAAATAAGTAAACAGAACCTTCCATCACCTAACGCATGCCAAAAAATAAAATAGAGATCACAAGAAACAGCAATAATCATGCAGATAGATAAACAAATCAACCGACGGACGTAACGCGATGTCAGGACCTGCATGAAATGGACATTGGCGTCTCGCGGACATATGTCGGACTCTCCGCAGAAGGGGCTAACGGTGACGGTGTTATCGTCGAGAACGGGCAGGTTGTCGCTAAAGCCGCCGTCGATGTAGCGTATCCCTTGGTAGGACGGGGGAAGCCAGCCGCTAAAGCCGGGGATGAAGGCGGAACACAGGATGGCCTGGGGGGAGGGAAGGAAGCGGGGCGGAGAGGGGGAGGGAGGAGGAGGGACGAAGGAGGAGGGGAGGGAGGGGGCGGAGGGAGGAGGAGGGAGGAGGGAAGGGACGAGGAGGTAGGAGGGAGGAGGGAGGGGACGGGAGGAGGGAGGAGGAAGGAGGGGGGCGAAGAGGAGGTAGGAAGGATGGAGGGGGCGAAGAGGAGGGAGGAAGTATTGTGAAGGGGAGGGGAGGGGGGAAGGAGGAAAGGAGGAGGCCGAAGGGGTACAAGGAGGGAGGAAGACGGAGAGCGAAAGGGGGCGGGGACGGGAGGGACGAGGAAGGAAGGACAGGACGGCGGGTGGAAAGGAAAAGAGGGTGAGAAAATGAGAAAATGTTTGTGATTGCTTGCTTGGGAGATCGAGCATGAATGTTGGGGGCGGGGGGGGGGGGGGATTGGTGATACACCCGCGCAAGTTTTGGATTTGGTTTGCTTGGCTGACGCGGGTCTTGGGTTGAGTTTTGAAATAACGGGATACAATTTGTGGTTGGTTGTTGAAATACCTCAACGACCATGGGATTGTTTGCTGAAATGTTTGTGCTTGGTTACTGAACTACCTGAATCAACCAGGAATTGGCTGGAATACCTGAATCAACCAGAAATTGGTAGCTGAAATACCTGAATCAACCAGGAATTAGTTACTGAAATACCTGAATCAACAAGAAATGAGAATCAACCAGGAATTAGTTACTGAAATACCTGAATCAACCAGAAATTGGCTGAAATACCTGAATCAACCAGGAATTAGTTAAAATACCTGAATCATGAAATACCTGTTAGTTACTGAACCTGAAGGAATCCTGAACCAGAAATTGAAATACCTGAATCACCAGGAATTAGTTACTGAAATACCTGAATCAACCAGAAATAAATACCTAAGAATTAGTTACTGGAATCATAATACAATCAACCAGGAATTAGTTACTGAAATACCTGAATCAACCAGAAATTAGTTACTAAATACCTGAATCACAAGAATTGTCTGAAATACCCGAATCAACCAGGAATTAGTTACTGAATCAACCACTGAATCAACAAGATCAGTTGAGCCAGAAATCCTGAATCAACCACTGAAATACCTGAATCGTTGTTCACCCACCTAAACAACCCTGTGTCTGGCTATCAAAACCAGCTGAACAAACTGGAGATTGGCTGCTGAAATATCTGAACAAATCTGTCGCTGGCTGTGAGTGCCGTTCAAAGGATTACCTGTGAATGAGCTTTATGGACGGACATGCTGAGCTCTCGAACGGACTTGTGCGTGTGTGTGCGTGCGTGCGTGTGCGTGTGCGTGTGCGTGTGCGTGTGCGTGTGCGTGTGCGTGTGCGTGTGCGTGTGCGTGTGCGTGTGTGTGTGTGTGTGTGTGTGTGAGTGTGTGTGCGAATACAGGTGCGTGTGTGTGTGTGTGTGTGTGTGTGTGTGTGTGTGTGTGTGTTGTGTGTGTTGTGTGTGTGTGTGTGTGTGTGAGTGTGTGTGTGTGTGTGTGTGTGTGTGTGTGTGTGTGTGTGTGTGTGTGTGTGTGTGTGTGTGTGTGTGTGTGTGTGTGTGTGTGTGTGTGTGTGCATGTATGCATGTATGTGTATGTATGTGTGTGTGTGTGGTGTGTGTGTGTGTGTGTGTGTGTGTGTGTGTGTGTGTGTGTGTGTATGTGTATGTATGTATGTATGTGTGTGGTGTGTGTGTGTGTGTGTGTGTGTGTGTGTGTGTGTGTGTGTGGTGTGTGTGGTGTGTGTGGCTGTGGCTGTGGCTGTGGCTGTATCTATATCTGTATCGGTGTCTGTGTCTCTGTCTGTGTGTATGTGTATTGAGCGCAAGAAAGAAAATCTCCACGAATGCGTACATGTCCTCGCGATAGTGCACGAGCCAGTCCATGAGCGTATGTAAGTGTGTGCGCGCAATCGTTTCATGTCCGCCCAACGTGACAGGCGATCACCTAACCTTCCAGTTCAACAGCTTTAAGAACCCCCCCCCTTCCCTCCCGCCCCGTCCCACCCCCACGAGCCCCGCCAGAACCCGAAGTCAAAACAAGCAACGGACCAATCACAATCCAGCGAGAGCCAACCCTGCATTCTGATTGGTCGGCGGAGAGACCGTCGAGTGGCTACCGATTTCAAGTCGACGTTTTGACACAGAATTTCGACTTGGGGAAAAAAATCTTCGAATATTTGAATATGAACTGGGAAAGTAAATCCAAAATCTGATGGATATTTCCTGTTAATAAATGGTGAGATGATATAAACTCAAAGACGAGGAAAACATCACAGAAATTTCCTAATATCTGGCAAAATGCATGAAATGTATTTACGATATGAATTTTCCTTAATTATTAAGCTACTTAAAAAATCTACATAAACTATTTTTTTCATGAACTGTGTAATGGCTAAAGACATATTCATATATTCATATGAAATTGAGGAAATAACTTTTTAAAAAATATGATATATTGCATATAATCATTAATAATCATCAACATTATCACTTATCAAAAGTCATTATTATCATTATCACTGCTATAATCTCACTCACAACAGCAATGATAACAACAATAAAATAATAAACCCTCCCAAGAAAATATATAAAAACGAATATATAAAGAAAACAATATCATCTTTAAAAAAAAAAAAAAGATATCATATTGTATTACAAAAAATAAACAAGAACAAAAATCTCACCTGGATCAGTTCTTCCCTTGTCTCGAAGTGTGAAAGCAGAATGTTCTTGCCGTCACTCACACGCGTCACGGAAATGAACAGCTTGCCACTGACGATCTTGTGAGCATCATCGGGCAGCACCTGGAGGGGGGGGGGGGAGGAAAAAGCACGTGGGTGAAAGAGATAACTTGTTCGAGACATGTTGGTGATGTTTCGGCGAGGGGGGGGTAGGGGTGTGGTGGGGGAGGGTGGGGTGGGATGTGATGGGCGAGGGGTGGGTGTCTGTGTGCATTTGTTTGTGGTACGGGGTGCAATGTCTTATATATATATATATATATATATATATATATATATATATATATATATATATATATATATATGTATATATATATATAATATATATATATATATATATATATGTATGCATGTAAAACACTCTACCGTGTAGATACCATGATTTGTGCACTGTGTTTTATGTGCACACACACACACACACACACACACTTTAGACTTCTTCAGTGTATGTAATGCTGTATGTACAACTTATGAAATCGGGCCTTAGATATCGCGTCCGCCCCCCCCCCCCCCACAAGCCGAGATTCTAAAGCTTCTTGGACCTTCTGTAGACGCCAATAAATAAAAATAAATACTAATACTGTATTCAAGTTTGATCCAAATGAAATTGATATTCGTAAACTTTCTGTTTTACATGAAAAACCTGGAATTTGTCTATTAAATGATTGGCAGTCACCCACTATAATTTTTATATTATACGGTAAAGATAACGATAAGAAAGAGAAGAAAAAATACACACAAACGGCCATTACCACACACCATGCGAATGCGATGATGGAGCCCAGACTTCGGATTAAGATGTCCGTAACTTATTGATCAACCATTACAACGTCTGTACTTCAGTTAAATTTGGAAACCGATTACTTGTATTACATATCTGTATTAAATTCCTACTCCATGTTGTACAGGTTATCATTGTTTACTAGCTCCAGTTAATGCCGAAACCATGGCTCTAGTATCGCATTCGTGTAATTTGCGGTAATAGTGGTAACTCGAATATACGCCACCATGATATCAGGAAGATAATTATATCTGTGTCACTACTAATAAATATATATATGGCTTCAAATAACCTTTGGAGTTTACCGGTAATTTTCGTGAAATTAACAAACAAACAAAAAAATATTCATAACATTAATTATATCCGGGTTTGATGCCAGCTCTTCCTCGTGTGTGATCGGCACGGGTAGGGTAGCTTTTTCAGGATGTTGCAAGCGAGGATCTGATAATATATTTCTACGCGGTTTTGCAGTTTATTACAGTTTAAGGCATCGGAAAGTTTGTACTTTGAATCCTAACAGTGAAGTTATTAAAAAGCTTTCTTTTCTTAATTTCATTAGAATATCGCATTTAAGATGGGAATGTTTTCCCAACCTGGAAATAATATTGGCTTTTCTGTCTGTAAACTAGAATTTTCAGCGGGATTTTCTTTTCCTTTTCATTTACATTGTTGAGGGTTATATCTGCAGTCTGAATATCCAACAACTTATCAGAATACATACGGACGAGTTTTAGAAAACATTTTTGGCATGAAAATGTCAGAACTTGTTTCGTTATTAATAATAATAAAAGTTGACGGCAACGCAACCATCTTTTCAATGGCGTTGGTCCCAATACACGATCGGTGGGATTAACACGTTCTGCGCATGTGCAGGATTAAGATTCGAGCTGAAAAGTCAGTGCCGATCCAGAGGTGTATTAAAAAAGTTGATCCATGAGGCCCCCATTACGAACGCGCACTGGAGATTTGCATTTAAAACTCTAAATACGGGATTAACTTTTTATGACACGGACAGAAGGCGCTATAAAGTCCTTGAATTCCCGATCGAAAATCTCTTTTAAACCTCGACTTGTCCTTGAAGCTTGAGGATTAACCTACATGTCCCTCAATTACACACATTAAAAAGGATTGGATCTTTTTTACGGGTTACTTTGGTGTGCATTCTGAGTGTGTGGGATGAACATTGTGGTATTCATTCTTATTACCGAGTGTAATAGGGGCAGTAATGATGATGATTGTAACAGAGAGAAAACAAATACAGATAAATTACAATTAATATGTGCAAAGAATTACATAAACCATTAAGTCAAAATAATTTTGCCCCAAAAAAGAAAAATAAATTTGGGAAATAGTGAGAGAGAGAGAGAGAGGCAGTGAGAAAAAGAGAGAGAGCAGAAGAAAAGAAAGTAGAGCAAAAAGAAGGAAAGGAATGCATAGAAAGAATGAAATAAAAACAAGAAAAGAGAAAGAACAAGAAATCAAGAATTAAGACAAAATAATAAAAACAAATGGAGAGAGCGAGCGAGAGAGAGAGAGAGAACAGTCAGACAGACAGGAAACAGAGACGAGAGACCAGAGAGAGACAGAAGCACAGAGAGAGAGAGACAGACAGACAGAAAAAAACAACAAAAAACACATACCCTGCAAGAAACTCCCCTTCCCTTCCCCTCCCCTCCCCTCTCCCTCCCCTAACCCTCCCCTTCCCCTCCCCCCTCCCACTCCCCTCCCCCTCCCCCCCTTTCCCCCTCCCTTCCCCTCCCCCCTTCCCTCCCCCTCCCCCCCTTCTGAAACTTACGCTGAGCAGACCCCTCCCGCAGGAGCTTCTCCACGTTGAACGTCGGGGCTGAAGGGACCCAGCATCCGCTTCCGAGCCTCCGTCGCCGTCTTCAGCACTGACGAGGTGATGATGCCTGGTGGGGGGAGAGAGAGGGAGAGAAGGGGGAGAAAGAAAGTTAGTTGCGGTGGGGAAGATTGGGGGTGGGGTGATGGTGGGGTGGTGTGGTGGGGGGGTGAGGGTGGGGGGGGGGTGGGGGGTGTTGGGGTGGGGGTGGGTGGGGGTGTGGTGGTGGTGGTGTTGGGGTGTTGGAGGTGGTGGGTGGGGGTGGTGACGGTGGTGTGGTGGTGGAGATGGCGGTGAGGTGGTGGTGAGCTTAATGTGTGATGATATCTATACTCGTGAGTGTATGTGCATGTGTGCACATACACTTACATTTTCAATGTATTCATTTATTTGTATCCATATATATATGTGCTTACACACACACACACACACACACACACACACACACACACACACACACACACACACACACACACACACACACACACACACACACACACACACACACACACACACACACATAGTATGTACATATATATATATGTAATATATATGTATGTAATACATATGCATGTATGCATGTATGAATGTACTGTAAGCACTGTATGTGTGCAGCCTACCAGGTCAGTGCCCCGATTTCACAAAAAGTTGGCCCCGAAGACACAAAGAGTACAAAAAACATTCTTGCTGTGTTAATGCTGTCTCTATGCGCCAGGGAGAGAAAGGGGGGAGAGAAAGAGAGAGGAGGAGAGAGGGAGGGGAAGGAGAAGGAGGGGGAGGGGAGGGGGAGGGATGGAGGGGGCTGGGGCAGAGTGGGAGAGAGAGAGGGAGAGAGGAGGGAGGGAGGAGAGGGAGGGAGGGAGGGGGGAGGGAGGGAGGGAGAGAGAGAGAGAGAGAGAGAAGAGAGAGAGAGAGAGAGAGAGAGAGAGAAGAGAGAGAGAGAAGAGAGAGAGAGAGAGAGAGAGAGAGGAGAGAAGAAACAGAGAAAAAGAAACAGAGAACAGAGAGACAGAGAGAGACAGAGAACAGAGACAGACAGACTGCAAGAGAGACAGAACACAAAAAGAAACAGACGCACAAATATAACCAACGGCCACAAAAGAAACAGAATAAACAGCAACAAACACCAAAGAAAAAAAATACTAACGAACCCCAACAACAAAAAAAACACCAAAAATAAAAAACACAAAACCCCCAAAACCGCCAAAAACCCCAACAAAACCCCAAAAAGCACCACCAGACCACAACCCACAACCCCAACAAACAACCACAAACCCCAAAAAGCACCACCAAACTCCAACAAACACCACAAGCCCCAACCACCAAACCCCAACAAAACCCCCAAAAGCACCACTAAACCCCACAAACCACCACAAACCCAAAAAAACTCCCACCAAAACCCCACAAACAAGAACGAACGCAAATCCGTGGCTGATTTCCTGATGACGTCACACCGAACCTGCTGCGTCCGTCCCTTCTTTGGCTCCCCTTCCCCTCCCCCTCCCTCCTCCCCCCCTCCCCGTCTTCGTAGGTCTTCGCTCCCCCCCCCCACCCCTCTTCTCTTCCTATTCTACTTCCTCTTCTTCCTTTTCCTTCCTCTTTCTCGTTTGTGAGTATATCGGTTATTCATTTTATTTTTTTTTCTTTATTTTTGTTTTGCTTTTTTGTTTCTTTAATTCTTGTCGGTCTGTTGTCCTGTCTTTCTTTTTGTCCTCCTTCTTCTCTCTTTCTTTCCTTCCTTCCTTCTTTTCGTTCTTTCTTTCCTTTTCATTTTTTTCTTTCTTTCCTCCTTCCTTCCTTCTGTTCTTTCTTTCCTTTCTTCCTTTTTTCTTTCTTTCATTCCTTCCTTTCTTTCTTTCGTTCTTTTTCTCTCTTTCCTTTCTCCCTTCCTTTTTTTTCTTTCTTTCATTCCTTCTTTTCTTTCTCTTCCTTTTCTTTCTTTCTTTCTTTCTTCCTCCTTCCTTCCTTCTTTTGTTCTTTCTTCTTTCTTTCTTTTGTTTCTACCACGTTATTTGTTTTTGCTTCCTCCGCATTCCTTCCCCCTCTTTTGTATCTTCTTTAAGTATTTATTTACGGTTTTTCTTCCTTCCTCCCTCCTTCCCTGTCCGTCATTTCCCCCTTTTCCCTTGTCACTCCCCCCTTTCTCCTTTTCATTTCCCTTGTCCCTTTCTTTCCTTCTTCTCTCCCTTTCCCTTCTATTCTTCTATTCTCCCCGCATTCCCCAACCGCCATCTTCCCCCAATCTCCCATCCCTATTTCCCTCCCCTCCACTCCCGTTCCCCAATACCACCCATCCCCTTCCCCCTGCCCTTTCCTTCCCCTCGCCACCTTCCCCCTTCCCACTTCCCCTCCCATACCCCCACCCCTCTTCCCCCATCCCTCTCCCCCCCCTTCCCCATTCCCCCTCTCCCCCATCCCCCTCTCCTCCCCCTCTCCCTCCTCCCTTCCCCTTTTCTAAATACGTAGGCCCACTTTTGCAGACTCACGTGCAGAACACATCCTGGCCGCGGGGGGGGCCAGGCGGGCGGACCCCAACGTAACGCACAGAGCTACTTCCTCCCTGTACTCTCTTTGTTTTTTGTTTGTTTTTTTCTTTGTAGGTTTTTTGTTTATTTATTTATTTATTTGTTTATTTATTATTTCTAGTTTTATTATTATTATTATTATTATTATTTTTAGTTTTATTAATTATTATTATTATTATTATTATTATTATTATTATTATTATTATTATTTTGGGTGTTCTATGTTGGCTCTTTTCGCAATTAGAATGTGATCGCTCTCTCTCTTCTCTCTCTCTTTTTTCTTTCCTTCTATGTTCTTTCTTCTCTCTCACTCCCCTCCCTCTCATCATCTCTCTCCTCGTCTCGGTCTCATCCGTCTCTCATCTCTCTCGTCAATCCATCTCATCTCTCTCTCTCTTCTCTCCTCTCGTTTACTCCTTTTTTTCTCTCTCTCTGTACTCGCTCTTTCCTCCTCAGTTTCCTTCTCACTCTCCTCTACGCCTTAATCGGTTCCCCTTCTCTTTCTTCATCTCCTTTCCTTCTGGGTGATGGTTTGCTGGAGCCCGGAAAGGAGACCCAGGAAGTCACCCTGGAGCCCGAGAAAGGAGAGCAAAGGAAGTCAACCCTAGAGCCGCGAGAAGGAGACCCCAGGAAATCGCCGAAGAGGCTCGAGAAGGAACCCTGGAAGTCGGCCCTGGAGCACGAGAGACCGCTGAAGTCACGCGAAGAGGCTCGAGAAGGAGAGCCGCTGGAAGTCGCCCGGAAGAGCTCGAGAAGGAGACCGCTGTAAGTCCGCCCTGACCCGAGAAGGAGACCGCCCTGGAAGTCGCCGAAAGGCCCGAAGAAGGAGACGCTAGGAAGTCGCTCTGGAGGCCCGAGAAGGAGACCCAGGAAAGTCGCCCTAGAGCCCGGAGAAGGAGACCAGGAAGTCGCCCTGGAGGCCCGAGAAGGTTATGTTATTTGCTCAGGAAGTCGGCCCTGGAGCGCGAGAAGGAGACCCAGGAAGTCGCCCTGGAGGCCTCGAGAAGGAGAACGCCCCAGGAAGTCCCCGCTGGAGCCGCGAGAAGGAGACCAGGAAGTCACCCTGGAGGCCCCAGAAGGGGACCAGGAAGTCGCCTGGAGCTCGAGAGAGGAGACGCACCAGGAAGTGCGCCATGGAGCCGAGAAGGAGACCCGGCAGGAATCGCCGCTGGAGCCCAGGAGGAGAGGAGACGCAGGAAGTCCACCCTGGAGCCCGAGGAAGGAGTACCCAGAGTCACCCTGGAGCGCCGAGAAGAAGACCCGGAAGTCGCCCTGGAGGCGCGAAAGGAGACGCCAGGAAGTCGCGCTGGAGGGCCTTTTCCAAGAAGGGAGAACGCCAGGAAGTCGGCCCTGGAAGCCCGGAGAAGGAGACCCAGGAAGTCGGCCCTGGAGGGCCCGAGAAGGAAGACCCAGGAAGTCCCCCTGGAGCCCCGAGACAGGAGATCCAGGAAGTCACCCTGGGGCCGCGAGAAGGAGACCCAGGGAAGTCACGCCTGGAGCCCGAGAAGGAGAACCGCAAGGAAGTCACCCACCCAGAAGACCCAGAAAGTTCACACTTGGAGCCCGAGAGGAGACCAGGAAAGTCGCCGAAGAGCTCGAGAAGGAGACCCCTGAAGTCCCCTGGAGCACGAGAAGGAGACCCTGGAAGTCAGCCGAAGAGGCTCGAGACAGGAGACCCTGGAAGTCGCCGAAGAGCTCGAGAAGGAGACCCTGTAAGTCGCCCTGGAGCCCGAGAAGGAGACCCTGGAAGTCGCCGAAAAGAGCCGCGAGAAGGTAGACCCTAGGAAGTCGCTCTGGAGCCCGAGAAGGAGACCCAGGAAGTCGCCCTGGAGCCCGAGAAGGAGACCCAGGAAGTCGCCCTGGAGCCCGAGAAGGAGACCCAGAAGTCGCCCTGGAGCCGCGAAGAAGGAGACCCAGGAAGTCGCCGCTGGAGGCCCTCGAGAAGGAGACCAGGAAGTCGTCCTGGAGAAGCCGAGAAGGAGACCCAGGAAGTCGCGCTGGAGCCCGGAGAAGAGACACAGGAAGTCGGCCCTGGAGCGCCGAGAGGAGACGCCAAGGGAAGTCGCACCTGAGCCGAGAAGGAGATACAGGAAGTCACCCTGTGAGGCCCGAGAAAGAAGACGCAGGAAGTCAGTCTGGTGCGGGGTGAAGTCACCCTGCGAGCCCGAGAAGGAACCAGGAAGTCACCCTTTGAGCCCGAGAAGGAGACCCCAGGAAGTCCGGCCGAAGGAGCTCGAGAAGGAGACCCTGGAAAGTGCCGATAGAGCTCGGAGAAGGAGACCTCTGGAAGTCGCCGAAGGGAGGAGAGAGGGAGGGAGGTCGCGCGAAGAGCTGTCGAGAAGGTAAGACCCTTAAGTCGCCCATGGGAGCCCGAGAATGAGACGCAGGAAGTCGGCCCTGGAGGCCCGAGAAGGAGACCCAGGAAGTCGCGCTGGAGCCCGAGAAGGAGACCCAGGAAGTCGCCGGGCCCGAGAAGGAGACCCAGGAGTCGCCCTTGGGAGCCCGAAGAAGGAGACCAGGAGTCACCCCTGGAGCCCGAGAAGGA